AACCCTAAACCCTAAATACCCTCAAGGCCCCTTGGCCCAGGTCAGCAGCTGCCAAAGACGCAGTTGGTTCGGCTGGCAGAGCGGCGAGGGCTGATGCTTGCACGTGCCCTGCTGGCTTTTAGGGATTAGGGGTTAGAGTCAGGGGTTGGAATGATTAGGCTGGGGTTTCTGATTGGTATTGAAGTGTCACGGTGATCTTTAGCTTTCGGCTGAAGTTTCTGGTTAACTCTTCGTTTACCCATGTTGTGTATACCCTGCCGCTCGAGTTTCTGTATGCATGCATATAAATTTTTGCATGGGTCGACATACGGGTATGTCAGAATGTCAAAACCAACCCCCTACACTAAATCCTAAATTCCAAAACCCCAAACAAAACCTTAAACCGATGTGCAGCTGTAGNNCCCTGTACCCTAAACCCTAAACCCCTTAAACCCCCTGTTTCCCCTAAGCCCAAATCAGCCCACATCCCGGTCTTTTTGGATCCCGCGCCGCTCAAACCCCCAAACCGGAAAAGCTTAGACCCTCAAGCTTGAGCCCAAGGTTTAGGGTTTAGGGTCAGGGTTTAGAGTAGAGGGTTTAGGGTTTAGGGTTTAGGGGTCAGGGTTTAGTCAGGGCTTAGGGTATAAAGTTTAGGCTTTAGGGGTTTGGGTTTAGCGTTTAGGGTTATAGGGGCTAGGGTTTAGGGTTTAGGGGTTAGTGTTTAGGGTATGGGGTGTCGATGGAGCTCAAATGAATAGTCCCCAACCACTGAAACATGAATCACTCAGCATGCCCACAGGTATGGAGGGTGTATGGAGGGCCACAGGTGACGTGGTGATTTTCCTAGTGACTTGGACTGGAGTCTGAACTTTCCCAATCGGTCCTAGCTAGTGTTATTGCGGATAATTCCCCAAGTCAGAATAGTAATTCTCAATATAGAAGCCATACAGGACCATACATTCAACCAAACATTGGTACTGAGGACCCTGTGTGGTTTTTGGGGTACCATCTAGCCCTAATCGTCAGAATATCGAAAATTCAAGAGTTTGGGGTGAACGATCAAGGCTTGACGTTGCCAGGCGCAGGATTTCGCGATCACAACCAAAATTGGATGCTTTCCGGATGGTTCCAGGGGATCTAGGTTGGTTGAGCTTTATATTTGCGGGTGTAGAGGGTAATTAATTGAGGGGTCTTCGTCTTTTCATCAGGGTGTTCGGGTATTTTTCTAGGAGGACCAGCCACTGAGAGGAGGATGATCGCTTCTTACGCTCCGATGGTGGGTTCTGGGCTTGGGCATGCAAGGGCTGTGAGAGTGGGATGAAGGCAGGCGGGTTAATCCCTAGTAAGAGTCCATATATAAGAGATCCATAATGCTACCTACCTTCGTCCCACCTTTAGTGCTTGGTTCCGGTGCAAGACCCCCGGATTATAAGCTCTTAAGATATAGGGTTTGGATCAAGATGCGCAACGCAGCTGGATTTTTTGCCGTACATGTACAACTGCCCACGAGGATTCATTGAGCCGAGGTGTTTTTTCGCATCATAGCAGCTCCCTCGAGAGTTCTTGCACTTTAGAGAATGCCGGCTGGGTGCAACAGCGGTTGGAAGAACCTCGTAAGGTTCTATAAGGATTTCGAAAGGAGGGTTTAGGATACCCTAAACCCTAAACCCTAAACCCTAAACCCATTTCGAAAGGTGTTTACTGATTAGGGCTTTGGGTTCCGGGCCGTACTTCGATGTAGGCTGTAGGCAGGGTCTCGGAGTAGGAAGCGATGTAGGCTGTAGGAAGGGTCTTACTTTCCCAGCTGTTGTGTTTTTACTTCGCATGCCCTAGTATCTTGACCTCCCTGTTTCTTCTTCCCCCTGTTTCTTCTTTTCGATCCCTTGCCCCAAAGCTGTCTGCTCGCAAGGACAGCCACATCGAAGCCACCCCGGGTTGGATAGAACCCCTGCTTGCGCGGATCAAGGAGCCACACAGTCACAGTGTTATCTGAGGCATCCATCGGACGTTAGACTATCCGCGCCCAATATAGAGTTCTTGAAAAGACGTTTGTGGATTTCCGAGCAAGATTTTCAGGCTTGGTTTACCCAGACTGTCTGTTACTCTGGCAGGGATACACTTTGGGTTTAGGAGCAATAGCGTGTAGGGAGAATGGAGTAGTTAAGTATGGACGCTCAAGATACTTTGGACTTGGGCTGTTAAGGTGTGGTGGGATGCAAGAGCGAAAGATTTGGCAAGCCGAATTCCACCCTTTGCCGTCTTCAACCGTAAACTCGACACTTTGCATACACTGAGCCTTTTTGATCCCAGACTTCGAACCACGCTGCTTCTTACTTCATAATCATATACTCTACAAGTACTAACCTACACACCTACTATTCTAAACCCAAGTACCTAATTGTCAGGTGCTTTGGACCCTTAGGGTTAGATGTACCATCACGATGGCAGGAGGATCCCAGGAAGGTGGTTCTGCCCAGAGTCGACACCATTGACGCAGCCCTTGGGCAAGAAGCTAGGGTCTCCGGAAATACTACTACTTGCTACCACTACTACTACTACCACTACTACCCACGACTACTACTACTACTACTACTACTACTACTACTACTACTTCTACTACTGTGGAGGCCAGGTTTGAAGGTACCTTTTTTGACTGTGTTTTGGGCCCCAAAAACAGGCCCCGGAAAGATGTGCGGATGAACCTCATTCTCTGTGTCGTGTTTGAGACACTTAGCAAGCCAGGTGGTGCTGCAAGAGCAGCTGAAGGCACTGAAAAGGGCTCGCCAGGCGGCGAAGCAGGCTGCTAGAAACGCCCGCAAGCAGGAGCGGGCAGCCTGGAAGCGGAGGAGCCGCACAGTGAAGGTGGGCTCGTCGGTAATGTGCGTGCGTGTTGCGGCGCATAGGCAATATGACGCTGGTATGCATGCTGCGACGGTGTTTCGTGGCGTAGTTGGTATGATGAGGATTCAACATGCCGGATGCATGTGCGAGGCGGCTCGACAGCTGTCCACGGAAGACTTAACGGAACTGCTTCGTGCCAAGGAGGCGGGGTGTGTACTGGGGTAAAGTGCTTGCAATGCAAGCTCGGTGCAAGGAAGTGGCGCGCGAGCAGCAGGCAGAGTGAGTTTGAGTGTGCACTGTGGACGGTGCAGCAAGTGGCCTTGGTGAAGGCTCTACACTACAGAAGAGTGCCTCGGAGTGGCGCAAAAGTGTGTTTGGGTGCCACAACTGCAAGCGCCGCAGTGCTCTTGGTAAAGGTTTTGGAGTAAAGTGCCTGCGAGTGGCGCAAGCTGTGCTCAGCGCAGCAGTCTACAGTAAAGTGCCTAGAGGTGGCGCCAGCTGTGTTCGTACGGCCAGTGCCCTTGGTCAAGGCTCTACAAGTCTACAGCGAAGTGCCTGCGAGTGGCGCAAGCTGTGCTCAGTGCAGTAGTTGAAAGGCAGACGTGCCGTTGCAAAGGCTTTACAGTCTACAGAAAAGTGCCTGGTAGTGGCGCGAGCTGTGTTCTGTACCGCCAGCGCCCTTGGTCAAGGCTCTACAGTACAGTGCAGTACAGTACCGGTGCAAGCTGTGGTCGGCGCAGCAGCTGAGTCGCAGAAGTGCCCTTGCAAAAGCTTTACAGTCTGCAGCGAAGTGACTCAGTGTCGCCTGCTGTGTTCCGTACGGCAAGTGCACCCTTGGTCAAGGCTCTACAGTAAAGAGCGTGCAAGTGGCGCTACCTGTTCGCCGTTTGTACTCCGACCTCTGTGCGGTCACGCAAAACAAGTTCGTGGCAAGGTGGTGTTACAGCTCGAACTTTGCAACTTTTGCAAGATGTAGGAGCACCGCACTCACACTCACTGCGTTTGTTGTCGTTTTCAGTCTGCTTTGTGTGTGTCTGCTGGTTCGTGCCTCTGCGGCTCACAACAGCTGTCTTGGAGATGGTGGAGATGTGCCCGGACCCAAGCATTTGAGCTGCAGCAAGACACGAAGCTCAGACTTCCGCTGAAAGTTTGGCTTGTTTGGAAAGCTTCACAACCTGCAAGGCTTGAGTGATCAGGATTCCATGTCCGGAGAGCGCTAACGAAAACGTAGACTAGACCCTACACTTTTAAGCCCCCCGAGACCCTAAATCATCATACAGCTCACTCAACATAGCACAGCCGGAGCTGGCGTTCGGATCGCACAATCTTTGCGTTTCTAGGCAGACAGGCTTTTGGAAAATTTGCTGGAGGCCGGTACCTGGAAGCGGGCGAGCGAGACTCTGATCTGAGCTGCTGACTCAGAAGCGAATGCTTAGAAGTCTTGCATTCCAACGCATGTCTTTCCGGCAGCAAGAGAAGCACAAGTTGTGGTCGCAAGCTACAGCATGTGATTGAGGTGCGACCACCAAGCCAGACATCGAGCGCACCATCAGCCAAAAGTGAAACAAGTGCACGACTCCTCAAGTTGCTCACTTGCGACGTTTGTGTGCAATCAGTGTTCCTTTCAATGTGGCTGTTCCACGGCTCGTCAGAACTGTGAGTGTTTTTTAGCCTTAGAGAAGTGAGAAGGAAACATCGGAAGTGCTGAGCAAGTGAATATGAAGCCGTGAAGCCACAGGAAGCTCTCGTGTTGCAAGAGTTATAGCAGTTCTAGGGTACTGGACATTGTGATCAGACGTCTGCTGTGACCTGCACGGCGGTTCCTTCGCTTATTTCCAGTCCCAGGCTTGTTTGACCGCGAAATGTGGCAGTTCAACCCTGCTTGACGTCTTGCATGAAAATCGCATTGTTTTCACAGCTTCAAGCTTGTACGCTGGCGAATCTGACGTTTTACAATAGCACGCCGTCTATCTTGCATGAAAATCGCACTGTTTTCACAGCTTCAGGCTTATATGCTGCCTATCTTGCATGAAAATCGCACTGTTTTCACAGTTTCAGGCTTGTATGCTGGCAGAATCTGGCGTTTTACAGTAGCACGCCGCCTATCTTGCATGAAAATCATTGTTTCCACAGCTTCAAGCTTGTATGCTGGCGAAATCTGGCGTTTTACAATAGAACGCCGCCCAATCGTAACGTGCTTTAGGCGCGTTA